TTTCTACCAGCCCTGCCCCCACGACACCCCTCACCTGTCTGCGGGGTAACCCAGGAACAGGTAGCCGGAGGCAAAGCCCAAGATGAAGAGGATCTGCTCCAGGATCACCTGCCAGCCCAGGTCACACACCAGATCCCACTGGGGACGTGAGAAGGGTGCAGGGGGCGTGAGGCCCCGCCCTCGCAGCTCTCTGCCCGCCCCCAGACCCGCGGCCCGCCTGGCCGCCTCACCTGGCCGATGGCATTGGTGGTGAGCACGGGAAGGCCATTATAGTCCCAATCCTTGAGGCAATGGTTGAAGTCCGGCGGGGCGAAGCCGCTGCACGAGGGGTCGGTACTGGTGGCGACACGGCTGGCAGCGCTGGCTGCTAGGGCCGCGCTGGCGACGCTGACGCCGCTGGCATTGGGGGGCTGCTCCCAGCCAGAGGCATTCGGGGGGAAGGCCCCGTAGTGGCAATGCAGCGGGGGCGCCAGCGTGAAGATGGGGTCCGAGGCCATGCCCAGAGCCACGAAGAGCACGGGCAGGCAGCAGAGGCCGAGCTGCAGCTGCTGGCCGCCGCCCAGCGCCCCCACCTGGGCGAGCAGCGCCTCAAAGCTGAGGGGGCCTGGGGGCACGGCCAGCGACAGGCTGCTGCCCAGTCCGTCGCCGCCCGCGTCTCCCTCCCCCTCCCGCTCGCGCTCCCGCTCACCCTGCAGCTGCTCCGTGGGCACCGCATCTCCGAGGGTTCCGACCTGCTGTTGGGGGGCAGGGGGTGGCAGGAGAAGGGTGAAGCGGAGGAAACCGCAGAGCAAGGGCAGGGGGCAGGCGGGAGCGAGGGCTAGGAAGGCAGTCAGGGGCGGGGGATGCGCAGGAGGAAAATGAAGGGCGCTCCGCGGGGGCGGGGGTGTGGGGAGAGGATGGCGTCGCCACCTGGGGCTCGGGCACTTACTCCGTTGGAGGTAGGGGTGATCTCTACAGTGTTGTCGATTTTGCCGCCGCCCCCGCCATTGGGCTCGGGGGTCCCGGTGGCCACCCGGGGAGCCAGCTTGCTGACCGCAGGGGCCCTGCCAGCCCGCGCCGAAAGGATGCGCTGTCCTCTGGCCCAGTTGCGCGCTGACTGCCCGGACCCAGAGAGCCCGAAGAGATCCCGCTCCGCAGCTCTGCAGCCGCGGGCGCCTCCTTGGTCTCTGCGATCTCTGCGCTGCTTTCCCCTCCTCTTCCTCTAGACTCTCCTCCCCTTCCCACGTCAGCAGAACCTTCGGTCCAGACTCTTCGTCAGATAGAGGAAGGGGGGCCAGGGCCCAGGGGAGGGAGGGGAATGGGGCTCTGTCGTCTCTTTCCTGGGTCTGCAGGCCATTGCAGTAAAAAGCAAAAAAAGCTGAAGGATAGTAGCTAGTCCAGGCAGATGCCAGAGATTCTTCCTCTGCTTCCAATCATTTGCCACTACTCATTCATTTATTCATCCACCCATTCACTAATCAGTAAAATTTAAGTGTCCACTACATTCCAGGACTTGCACTAGACTTTAAGGATAATAGGGTGGACAAGGTCCGCTTTGGAGACCATTACTCCAGGGAGACAGACATGTAAACTGGCTATTACAGTACCACTTATGCATATGGAAGACTGGCTTGGCCCTGTATTCAGCCCTAGCTTCAGTCCTCTACAAGGAGACCACTTCCTTGGGTTTCATCACTCCCATCCTGGTTGAATCTCCATTTCTCAACAGCATTTGGCACTGTTGACCCCCTCTTCCTTTAAACACTCCCTTCCTTTGCTGCTGAGTCTCTCCTGCTCCCCTTTTCTCCATTGCAGAAATCGTCTTCCAGCTCATGGCACTGGTGCTGAGCATGGGCAGGCCATTATCATCCCGGTTCTTGAGGCAATGACTGAAGTCCAGTGGGATGAAGCAACTGCAGGAGGGGTCTGTATTGGTAGTGACCAGGCTGGTGGTGCTGGCTTTTAGGGCCATTCCTGTCTGGATCATTTAGACACCATCATTCAGTGTCTGGAATCCTCAGAGACTTAGTCCTAGGCCCTCCTCTCATCTCACACTGTCTCCACCTTGGGATCTTGCCTATTCCTACAGCTTCAAACACCACCCATACAAACAATACAAACCTGATGTCCAGACTGATTTCCAGCTTCCACCTCTGTTCTGAGCTCCAGACCCATGAAGCCACCTCTTATTTGACCTTCACCTTGGATCACTCACAGGGACTTCAAACTCAATATGTTCAAGACCAAATTTGTGCTTTCCCCCCATAACTTGGTTGTCTTCCACTGCTTTTTTCTGCAGTGAATGGCACCCTCAACATCACATTGTGGCCAAATGCTCAGGCAACATCCCTTAGAGCTTTCTCTTCCTTACCCATGTTGAATCCTTTACACAATTCTGCCCGTTTTACTTCCTATATATTCTCAGATATCCCACATCTCTCCATCTCTGCCACTATTAGTCAAACTACCTGCTGTAAAGACCACTTTCGCCCCCTAATTCCTAACTGGTGTTCTGCATCCACTTTGTTTACACCTCCTTGCCACCCATATGTCATTTATAGTCAGATAGAATGATCTTTTCAAAATACAGATCTGATCATGTACCTTTCCTGTTAACCAGTCTTCAGTGGTGTCTCCTCACTGTCAAAGTGAATATTAAAAATCTAGATACCTCATACATGGTTCTGCATGCCTGGTCACATGCTCCCTGTAGTTCCATCTCACTTCTTTCCCCAAACTCTCTGCACTCCAGCCACAGACCTTCTAGTTTTCCCCAGTGCCACGAGGCCTTTGAACAAGCTCGTTCCTGCACCTAAAAAACTTCTTAGTCACATTTTTCTCATCCTTCAGCTCTCAGCTCAAACATCTTTGCTACACAGGAGTCTTCCCTAACCTCTAGAATTGCTACTCAAAGTGTGGTTCATGGACCAGCAGCATACGTGGGAGCTTGTTAGAAATGCAGAATCCGGCCGGGCGCGGTGGCTCAAGCCTGTAATCCCAGCACTTTGGGAGGCCGAGACGGGCGGATCACGAGGTCAGGAGATCGAGACCATCCTGGCTAACACGGTGAAACCCCGTCTCTACTAAAAAATACAAAAAAACTAGCTGGGCGAGGTGGCGGGCGCCTGTAGTCCCAGCTACTCGGGAGGCTGAGGCAGGAGAATGGCGTAAACCTGGGAGGCGGAGCTTGCAGTGAGCTGAGATCCGGCCACTGCACTCCAGCCTGGGCAACAGAGTGAGACTCTGTCTCCAAAAAAAAAAAAAAAAAAAAAAGAAATGCAGAATCCAAGCCTCACTGAGAGACCCTTGAATCATAATCTATATTTTAACCAGATCTTCAGGTGTAGGTATTATACATTAAAGGTAGAGACACACATCTCTAAGAGATTTGTTACCTGATAGGTACTTTATTCTCTAATCCTAGGTAAGGGCTAGAAAGGAGTGTTCTATCATTGTCAGCCAGGAAATCGTTCCCCCTTCTCTCCACTGAACCACACCTTTAACTTGTCTCCTCTGTTCAGAAATTTTCCATATATAGGAAACTCTTTTCTTGAGACAGGGTCTCACTCTCTTACCCAGGCTGGAGTGCAGTGGCTTGATCACAGCTCACTGCAGTCTCCACCTCCCTGGCTCAAGCAATCCTCCTACCTCAGCCTCCTGAATAGCTGAGACTACATGCACATGCCACCGCACTTGGCTAATTTTTTGATATTTTGTTGAGATAGGGTCTCACTGTGTGGCCCCGGCTGGTTTTATACTCCTGAGCTCAAGCCATCCTCTGGCCTCAGCCTCCTGAAATGCTGGGATGACAGGTGCGAGTCACTGCCCCCCGCCGAAACCTCTTTTCTAATGCATCAAGCAGCCTCTCACCACTTCCCCTCTCCCAACTCATTTCAGCATCTCTTCAGGTTTTACTATGGTGCTGCATAGCCAATATTCCTTGGGGATTTATCGTCTGACTCCTGGTGTCTGTCCTGGAATAATGATAATCACTTAATTTATACATTGTGGGGCTGTTCACATGCATTATCTTATTAGGTCCTCACAATAACCCTGTAAGACCATTATGATCATGCTAATATTGAAGATGAAACCAGGACTTCAGAGGGACTGGCATGATTTACCCATGGATGAACAAGTACATGGCAGATCAGAGACTTGAACTGAAACCTCTGACTCTAATTCCAGGCTAATCTCTTGAAATTCTGTTTGGAAGACGATGGATGATGGACTTCAACACATGGGGTGAATTTTGTTGGCCCCAAAATCTGAAAGTGCATTTTTCTTTGAGAGTGAGATGAGAAAGGAACCTAAAGGGGAGGTGGCAAATGTGTGGGGGTGCCAACAGACTATGCCCCCAATCCAGTCATCATGCCATGGTAATATCTTGGGAAAGCAGAACTGAAGCAATTGATTTGTAGCTTGGATGTTTTCTCTTGTGGTAAATGGCTAGAATGATCTCCTATCTGAGCCATGGTCTCATCAATTTCACCAAAGTCCTGAGGACTGACCTTTCGACATCTGCCACCGTGGATCCTCCTGAAAATGGTTTGTCCAGAAGGATGATGCGCAGGTCATCCTGGGATGATCTACCTGGGAAGCTGAGAGAAAGGGCCTATACCCTCTTGGTGTCACCTAAGGAAGAGGGTGCCTAGACTGGCCAGCAGCAGTCTCCAGTTGGCCAGAGCTATCCTGTGGTGCAAAGCTGAGGCTGGGCCTTTAGTTGGGGTGGCCTCTCCATGATGGCACATTTCAAGGCTCTTGTGTGGTCAGCTTCTCTCCACATTGACACCTCTCTAATGACATCATATGACAATGAAGTCTTGGAGGAAGGCCCTCAGGTCAGTCATTGGCATCTGCCTTCTGGGAATACTAGTCCTCAGACTCTCCTCTTCTGGGTAGCAGTTCGGATCTCACCTCCCAATCATCCTGTCTAAAGTCTCCTTCACTGGCCTCTCCCCTCATCTACTTAGTTTCTTCACACCATCCTGCCGACTTCCATCACCAGCAAATGTGAAATCTATGGCAGGTTTATGTTTTTATTTATGTATTTTAACTGACTTATTTGTGTATCCCACTAGAATGATACATTCACAATATACTTGCAGAACTGTGCCTGGCGCATCATGGGAGCAGAGAACTTGTCCAGTGAATAGTTGTTGAGGAAAGGAGCGAAATCTCCCCCAAATCCCTAAAGGCATCCTGTTCATAGTGTGTGTCCCATAGGTATGACTGCTGAGCACCAGGGCTGCTCACCATGCTCCCAAGAAGCAGAGTCAGGGAGGCAGACTGCAGGGTTTATTGAGGTGCACAACCATGTCTGAGTCCCAGCTCTCTCCACCTTCTGTGGGGAGAAGCTCTCTGGTCTTCCTGAGACCTTCAAACTCTGGACAGTTTATGTCTTGCCCTCACTCTCAGCTAACAGTGCAGTGCTGATCTTCTAGAGCCAAGATACAGGAAAAGAGAGAGGCTCTATGTGGCCTCAGGTTTCTGCCACCTGACTTTTCATGGCCAGTCTTCCAGAGGTGGGTGGCAGTGCAGTGACCTCCACCCTAGGCTGAGGAGAGAAGAGTCCAGTTCCTCACTGCCCCAGAGCCTAGTACCTGCTCCTGACAAAGCAGGGAATAATATTAAATATAAATAATTTATACAAAATGGCTCATACAAAAAGCTGTGGGTTAGGGGGAGAAGACACCTCTGTGAGAGGTTGAGATGAGCAGAAAGGGCAGGAAAGGGGAAAGATACCCCCACTTCTCCTAGTCCCTTAACAAAGCCCTCCAGCCACCCAAGGCCTAGAGGGGGGCTTTGGCAGACAGGGGAGGGACAGGGCTGTGCCAAAGGACCTTCAGGGAGCCAGGCTAGCGAGCAGGGTGGTGAATCGCAGGGCCTGCCCTGCCAGTTCTGTTACACACTGCATCATCTCTTGGACGGCAGGGCCGGATGGGTAGCCCAGGGCAGCTCCCTTGACAGCCAGCACAGTGGCCCGCAATGCCTGGCCTAGTGCTGTTCCTCCAGTCCTAACCTGTGCTCTCAGAGGGGCAGAGGCTGCCAGTCGGCCTAGGGTGTCCCCAACAAACACCAGGCGATGAGCAGCCACCACCACCCTCTTGCTGTGGGGCACGAAGAGTCGCGGGGGCTGATTAGCCTGGGTACTGGACATCAGGGCTGCCACGGCCACTTGCAGGGCCGAGTAGTGGCTCTGGCATTGCCCAGCGTAGAAGTGCAGGAGCTGTAGATCTCCGGTGGACAGAACCAGTGGCTCCCCTGGGGACAGGGCCTCCTGAGGGGCAAGAGGAGTGGTCAGAGAGAACATTCTCATCAGTGCCATTTCCTCCCTCACTTCTTTTCTCCTTCCTCCCTTTCTTCCCAAGGGCGATCCTTTTAGCTCTTACCTCTGCCCATCGGAAAGTTTAGATTCTAGAGAGAGCAGCAGTGAAGTGCCCACACTTGATATCAGATAGATCTGGATTCAAACAACCTCAAACTTGATTTCAGACAAGGCTTTGAACTTGGTTTCCTTAACTCTAAAACAGGGAATCTAGTACTGCACTGTCCAATATAAACATAATGTGAACCACATGTGAAATTTTAGATGAGTTAGTAGCCACATTAAAAGTGGTAAAAAAAAAAAAACAAAACAAAACCCTGATATATTTTATCTGACTCCAAATATAAAAATGTTATAATTTCAACATGTAATCAATATGAAAATTATTGAGATTTTTCCCATACTGAGTCTGCAAAATCCAGGGTGCGTTTTATATTTGCAGCATATTTCAACTTGAACTAGCCATATCTCGAGTGCTCAATAGCCATATGTAGCTAGTGGCTACTGTACTAGATTGTGCAGTTCTAGTATGTATCTCATGACGCTGCAGAAAAGATCAATTGAGATAATATAGAGAAAGGCTTATCACAGTGCATTGCACACTGTGAGCACCAGATGCGTATTAACTGTGACTATGGTTAATACTAACACATGCAGCATGCCTAGCACAGGGTCTAGCACTTGGTAAATACCTGATAAATAGTAGCTATTGTGTTGCAACTATTCTACACAGGTTTGAGGAAACCACCTCACTTTCTGAGGCCTGGAGAGATTAACTGACGGCTTCAAAGCCCCTGGCTTCTCAGTAGTGGAGCTGGGATTAGAAGCCAGGTCTCTTAGGAGCCCAGGAATTCACAGTTGGAAGGAGGCTCAGAAGTCCCCAGGCCTAGCTCTGACCCCACAACTCAGAAACTTTCTGCTCTCCTGGCTGCTTGATTTTCTGACTCCTCTCCAACACATTCTTTCCCCTCTTTCTGAATTCCTAACATCCTCTTCCAGGTTCCAGTTCCTTCCTGTAGATTTCTAACATGCCCTCCACTCTGTCCCTGGTTCCTGTGAACTCTCACTCCATCCTAACCTATTTCCTTCCATGGACGATGGCTCAGTTCTTCTCCCAAGTCCCTGTTCCTCCCTCCCCAGCCCCCTTCTCTAGCACCATTCCCGCCAGGGTCACCTGCAGCGCCGGCATTCCCCTCTCCGGCAGTTCAGGATCCCTTGTGCAGGCCTGATCCGGGGGCCTAGATCCCTGAGCTTTGTCCATGCCCTGCAGGGGGGCATGAGGTCTTAGTGCTGGGGTGGGGGAGCAAGACGGGGTGGCTTCTGTGGCCCTTCTGCCCCTTCCCAGCCTCCCTTCCTTCCCAAGGACACTCCTGTTATCAGAGGTTGTAGTCCCTTGACTCCAGAGAGCTCTGGTGGCCCCAGGCTGGGTCTAGGAGGAACAGTGTGGCACTAGTACAAGTGTTGTGGCCAAGTACTGGGGTCCCAGGCTACAGGGTAGAGGGCCAGGGGAGAAGGAAGGGGGACAGAAGGGAGGCAGGGAGGCTCTGCTTCTGTGCCCTAGGTCTCCACACTCCTCCCCTGGTACCCCTGGGGTCCCTCCTGGTGGGGCTGCCTGGGGACGCTCACCTTCAGGTGGACATAGTCATACTCCTCGGCCATTGGAATGCCCTCGTACTCATTGTGGTGTCCTGCTGGGTCATCCTCCATCTCCCTGCCCTCTGGATCCCCCTCGACCTTGGGGCCCCCATAGCCAGGCAGGCGGGGTGGGGGTGGGGGCAGAGGCCGGTCCTGGATGCTGCCCTTCCGTCCTGGGGCAGGAGAGGGCACTGGGGAGGGGCTGGGGGCCTCAGGGACAGGCAGGGCAGGCAGAGGGCGGCGGGACAGGCTCTCAGCTGAGGGGAGCCGGGGCCTGTGTGGAGGTGGGGGGCTTCTGGCCAGAAGCTGGGCCAGGGTGTCCTGGTCATGGGAGGCCAGCACTCCAGGGGGCTCTGGAGAAGGGGGAGCCTCTGGCCCCAGCAGAGGCACATCGTAGATCCCCTCATCAGTGCCCCCACCTTCCCCATCTGCCAGCAGTTCCTCGGGTGCTTCATACAGATTGAGTAAGGCTGACGCTCGTTTCAGGTTGGAGGGGGCAGCGTAGATGGGGGGCCCTGGTTCTCGGCCTCCTTCCCACTCCAGATCTGGTTCCAGCTCTGCAGGTGGCTTTGGGGTCAGAGGCACATCATAGGGAGCATCATCCTCTTCAGGGGGCTGCAGGGCAACCCGGGTCAGAGGGTGGGAAAAGGAGGCAGGGCAGTCATAGGGGCTACTGGAGAGCACCCGAAGGGCGGTAGGGGGCACATCGTAGACCTGTGGAGAGGAGTGGTCAGTCATCTGTCAGCTCAGCAATGAACCCTCCCTTGGGGCGATTTGTCTCCCACCCAACTTACACAGGGACCTCTAGCCCTCACCTCTAAGACATCTCTGGGAGCAGCCAGCTGGGTACCACTGGCTCTGGGGATCTTGTAGATGGGGTCAGGAGAGGGTGGGCAAGGTCCAGCTGGAGGTCCTGAGGTTGGACAGGGCCGAGCTGGGGGCGGCACCACATACACCTGAGGGATCAAATAGACGGGGGGTCAGGAGGAACGCAGTGGGCAGTGATCAAATAATGTCTGAGTGCAAGGAGCTTACAGACCTTCCAACTCCCCCTGTACCTAGAGGGCCAAAGCTCAGAAAGGTTGGTAGACAGGTTTTGGCCAGCGCAGAGCAGTGAAGAGCTGTGGCCTCAGGGCTCTTCCTGCCCACCTGCTGCAGGCCCTGGGTGGGGCTAGTCAGGGAGGAATGGGGCTCTTCTGGCTTGGGGTTGGGGAGGCTCCCACTCTCACCTCCTGGTCCTCATTGCTGTGATCTGGGGCTGGATATGGTGAGCCAAGCTGGGCTGGGGGTGCAGGAGAGAGGCCAGGCTTGGGTGCTGGGCCAGCAGGCAGGAGCTTCACCCTGTTGGCGGGCACAATGCCCTGCTGGCCGTGTAGGGAGCAGAGGCACCAGCCGTCCAGTCCACCAGCGCCCTCTCTCTGCAGGACCCGTAGGACATCCCCTCGGCGGAAGGACAGCTCCTGGGGGGACTCAGCGGTGTTGTCATACAGTGCCCGGGCCAGCTGGGCCTGGTGGGGGAGGTGGGAGTGGGGAGAAGGGTCTTCAGACCCCTTTCAGGTCATGTCATCCCCTGCTCAAAACCCTTCGGAGCTCTGCATTTCCCTCAAGCTAAAAACCTGCACTCTGGATGCAGCTTTCTGCCTAGACCCTAGCTTCTCTCCAGCTTCATCACCTGCATTCTCCCTCTTCCTTTCAGTTCCTTCAACTAGACCAGTTCTCCTCAGAGAGGCCGATTTTTTACTTTTCTCCCCACCCCATTCTCTGTTTGTCTCCACCTACTGTTTCTGTCCTCATACTTCATACTATTTGTCTATTTGCTTTTTTTATATCGATTTCTTCCCTTATATTGTAAACCCTATGGACATGGGAACTGCTATGTTTGTAGTCCTTGCAATAAGGCCTGACCTGGAATTGGTCAATACACATGTTGAATGAATTTCTTCCAAAACATATGAAGCCCTGCTACAGTCTCTCATAGAATCTCCTTTACCTTCTCTCTGTTCCCAAATCATTATCCCTCACTAGCAAAAGGTTAGCTTAAGCAGCCGCAGAGACCCCTCATTCTGAGAGACTGGGAGAGGCCTAGTCCAGACAGTGTGCCTAGGCATAATAAGAAAGAAAACAGAAACAAAGCAATTGTTTGCTCTCAGTCTGAACAAATAAGATTCGACCAGAAGAGGCTGAGGTTACCATGGAGAAAAGTGTGTATTCTTGTGTGTGTGTCACCACTGCCTGGAATCTACCAGCAGGCATCATCATTTAGCAATGGGCCCTTCCACTGAAGGACAGAGTGTGTCTTTGTGTGTGTGTGAAGGGGGTTGGCAGGCCAACCAAAAGGAAACATGTATCATCCTGTTTCCAGTCCTGTCTGGTGGGGGCTTATAAGCTTTTTCCATCAAGGGCCACAGGCTCAAGTAATAAGTCACAGGTACCAAGTGCAAACAATGTTTCCAGACACTGTGCAAATCTCTGCATTAATCAATTCATCTCATTTAATTCCCACAACAACCTTACGAGGGAGGAACCGTCCTTACCCCATTTTGGAAAGAAAACTGGAAGAGGGAGGTTAGTACTTTGTCTGATGCCATATCGCTGGCACAGCTGGTGGAGCATAATCTGAACCCTAAACTGCTTGATCCCAGAGCCTGTGCTCTCAATTACTTGTGCTACTGCTTCTCCACAATCACAAATGTAGAAATCTACTTAAAAGAAATAGTAGTAACAGTGGCTGAGAAAGTCCCTAACTCAAAAGCAAGTCAAGCACACAGGAAGGCCTTCTTATATCCAATTTCCCTTTGCTATAACCCTTCGCAGTGCTCTTGCTCCATGATGTCTTTTGGTAGAATCAAGCTTAAACCACTCAAAACGTACAATGACATTCAGCTTCAGTTTTGATTGCTAAATGATGATGCTTGCTGGTAGGGTCCCAGGCAGTGGTGACTTACATGTAGTGTTGGACAGCAGCTAGTTAGGCATTACTAGCCAGGTAGCCAAATGGACCGACTAATGCAGTAAAAAAATCTCAAGTTAAATATCTCAGGCAGGCTGCCACCAGACCCTGGGGAGAAGGGTGCCCTGCTAGAGCCAGCAGGAGTGCATATTCCTCTTGGTTGATGTTTCCCTCTGGTGGTGAGGTTGTCCGGCCCATCATGGCTGGGTGATTTTAACAACAAATTGACTCCTCTTCCTGCCTGATTCCCAACCCGTCAAACCATTTTCTGATTATATTTTGGTTTCTAAAGGATATTGTCCCACACAAAGAAACACGCTAACCAGATGACACAAATTCCCGGTTAGTGCTGCACTTTTCTTTTTAGTTGTAAATTATAAATCAGTCTTTTGGATCTAGCCAGGGGATTAAAAGCACAGTTCTAGAGGCAGACCTGGGGTTGAGTCTTGGCTGTGTCTCTTTCTTTTAAACATTTTATTTAAAATATTTAATTATTTAGAGACCAGCTCTTGCTCTGTGGTCCAGGCTGGAGTAAAGTGGCACAATCATAACTCACTGTAACCTCGAATGCCTGGGTTCAGCATCCTAAACAGCTGGGATTACCGTTGCGACCCACAGTTTGGCGGTCTGTCCCTTTCTAGTCAGGTGCCTTTGGGCAGATTGTTTAATCTTTCTGAGTCTCAGTTTTCTGCTTTGTAGAATTCCGTATGCACGTATCCATTTTCAGATAATAACGGTACTACCTGCACAAGGTGGTTGTGAGAGTTGCATGAGATAATGCATAAAGAAACTATGACAAAGCGTAGCACAGGGCCAGGTGCAGTAAATGCTCAATAAGTAATAGCTGTTATTAGAATCCTGTGAGTTTGATTAGCATAAATGCCCCTGACCATAAAAAGAAAAATCTACCTTCTTGGGACTACAAAGCTGACTAGCTGGCTCCTGAACCAGCATCTCTATGCCAGAGTACTCCCAGAGGTACTCTATCTCCAGAGGGCCTCCGTCCCCACTCTGAGCTAGGGTTTCCTGGCCATTGTTACAGATTGAGGAACTAAAAGGAGTTTGGGGCCAGGTGCGGTGGCTCATGCCTGTAATCTCAGCACTTTGGGAGGCTGAGGCAGATGGACTGCTTGAGCCCAGGAGTTTGAGACCAGCCTGGGCAACATGGCAAAACCCCGCCTCTACAAAAAATACAAAAATTTAGCCGATGTGGTGGTGCGTGCTTGTAGTCCCAGCAACTCAGGAGGCTGAGGTAGGTGGATCACCTGAGCCCAGGAGGTGGAGGCTGCAGTGAGCCATGATTGTGCCACTGCACTCCAGCCTGGTGACAGCGTGAGACCTTGTCTCAGGAAAAAAAAAAAAAAAAAGGAGTTTGGTCTGAGAAAGAATCAAACTTGAACCTGTCCTCAAAGGGTATGGGAGGACATTGGGTGGCTCGGTGCTTCTCTTTCCAGTCTCACAATTATCTCTCCAAGAGTCCCCACTGAGAAGGGACCAGAAAGCAAGTGACGGCCTCGCTTCCCTGGGAAGTTTAGGCAGGACCTAGAAGAGGGTGGAAGGGGAACAGAGCTGCCTGGATTCAGACTGCATAGACTGTAGAACAGAAAACCGAGGTGGGGCTGTAGAGCGCTCCTCCTTGGTGTTAAGTTTGAGTTCTGTCCAATGGGGCCAAGCCTCTGGGCCCTGCCACTGCAGGACAGAGTTGTTGATGGGCTGATTGATGATGGGTGTGGCCACTCCTGCTCTATCCCCCAGCGGTCCAGCTGACTGGTGAGGGAATGGCCAGCCTAATGTGGGTGGCAGAGGGCCTCTGTGCTCTCTGGGAGGCCTCCTCCCACTGTCCCAGCATGCCAGCTGTCTCCTCCCTTTGTCCTGATCCCTGGAAAGTGGCCTGAGGCTGGCTGACATCACCTCCCCTCCTCCCTCTGTCTTCTCTTTCTCCTTCCTGATCTCCCTCCTTTGGTCTATCTCCCTCTTTTCCCTATCCCTCGTCTCGAGATGGGCCTCCTTGGGTCCTTCAGCCTCTCGTTTTTCGTTTTCCGTGAGCCACTAGGTCCTTTCAGCCCCCTCCAAACCTTTTACTTGCCTCCCAATCACAAGCCCCTGCCAACCACCAGTGGCCATCTGTTCCCGCCCAAAAGAAGCAGATAGGACTCGGGCTACGCTTGCCCCCTCCCCTCCATTCAGGCGCAGCCTCTAGTAAGAAAAAGGAGAACGGGAGGGGGCGGGGAAGAGGGGAGAGCCCGGAGCCAGGAGGAGCAGGGGATGAGGAGTGAGAGGGAGAAGGGAAACAAAAGTGAGAGGAGGGGGACACAGCCTCCTGGAGAAGAAAGGGACCAAGGAGAGAGACAAAGAGAGGGCAGAAATAAAGTGACAGGAGCGCAGGGCAGGCCGTGGAGGTCTCTCCCCGGCAGCCTCCTCTCCCTGGTGGACTCACCGACGTGGCAATGGCCATGGCTTTGGCCTCCCGCGCAGCCTGCCTCAGGCCAGGCTCGGTTTTGCTGACTTCAGCGGTGGCTGCCCCGCACCATGATCCGCGGCCTCTAGCCCCCAGCTGTGGCGCCTGAGTCGTGGCCTCCGCCAAGGTTGGAGGAGGAGAAAGAAAACCCACAAAACTTCCCAAATGAGAGGCAGACTAGCCAGGCAGGAGGAGGAGCGGGGCGGGCCGGGGCGTCGCTGCGGGACGGCATCCAAGGGCGCGCGCTGCGTGCTGTCCCCGCGGCCTCCCGGGCGCCACCACCTCGTCCAGTCCCCGGGAGCTGCCCGCCCTAGGCCGCGGGGGCGCCCCGGGCTCGCAGGAGCCGAAAGTTCCCTTCGGGGGCCGGGGCAGGTGAGCAGGCGGGCGCTGGGCTGCGCTCGACGCCTCTCCAGGCCGCTCACGAGAGCCTCGAGGGCTGGGAGAAGCCGCTGGGGCGGTTGGGCTGGACGAGCGAGTTTAGGGGCCAACCCTCTCCACCCGCCGGCTGTGCTGCAGAGCGGTGCTCCCAGGGCTTGGGTCTGCGGCGACCCCGCTGGGAGGGCGGGAGAGCGAGAACTTAGACGTTTGTCCCAAGTTGCCCGGAGCCAAAGACCCCCGAGAGCGTGGCTGTGGGGCTGGGTCGCTGGAGTGGCCGCTTCTGCCCAAACACTCGCACCCCTGGCGGCGCGGCGGTTTTCACGCGCGCACTCACTCAGCGCGTCCGGGGGTCTGAGGTCGCCGCCACGGCGCCTCACCCCGAGCAGCAGCAACCAGCACACAGGCACCACTGGAACAGGCGGGACAGCCTTCCCGACGCGTTGCCCGCGCCCAGGCGGCAGAGGGGCCCAGCCCCCTTCCAGTCCTCGGCTCCAGGGCGCAAGGCCACAAGCTCCTGCTCCCACCCTCGGCCCCTGGCACCCGGCGCCGGCCCCACCGCCCCCTCTCACAGGCACCCTTGGCAGGACCCCGCGGCGCGCCCCACAGCTTGGGGGCAGCTCCCAGGTGTCTCTGGGAAGGGAAAGAAAGGCCACAAAGCAAAAGAAGGAGCAAAGAGAAGGCAAAGGAGGAGCAGGGTCCCGGGTCCTGCGGACTCGCCTGGGCTGGGGGTGGGGACACTGAGAGGGCTGCGAAGGCTCCGGGGGTCGCGCGTGGCCCTCAGGCTCACCCCTGGCCCGCGGCTGCCCTTCCCTCCCCTTCCTGGGCTCCTGGCCCCTCTCAGTGCTGTTCCTTTCTCCTCCCCTCAGGCCCTCTCCTCTCCGGCGCAGGGCTCAGTCCTGGGGATTAAGAGAAAGGAGGGAGGGGAAAGGGGAGGGGAAGGGAAGGGGCGGAGGAGAAAGGGGGACGATCCTTCCAAAGGCGGGTGTTGAGTTTCAGCTCAGGACCCTCGGGTCCAACTGCCTGTGGTACCCCTCCCCCACCCGTTCCCGCCCTGGCCCTGCCCCAGTCCCCGGCGCCTTCCTCCTCTGGACTCCGCTGCAGGCCTCGCTCGCGGCAGTCCGGTCGGCTTTCTCCGGGAGCTTTCCTCTCCCCGCCACGCCCCCGTCTCCCCCGCTGGCCCCGCGCCTCCCGGCCTCCCTTTCATTAGCCCCACATCTGTCTTTCCCCAGGGAGGGAGAGCGCGCCTCCAGCCCAGCGGGGCCCTTAGCAGAGCCTCTCCAATCCTCGGCGCCTCCCCTGCAGGGCAGCGGGGTTCGCTGGGCCGTTCTTGCGGGGCACAGGGCGGGAGTCTGGCGCTGGACATGGATTCTGGCCCTGGTGACAGAACATGAAGCAGGGCGTCTGGCCCCAGAGCTGCAGGCGGGCAGGTTGTGCGGCCTCTTACACTCCTCTGCCAGTCTGGGCCTGTCGGCCTCTTCAGCCTGGCTCGCTCTTGCTGCTATGAGGAGAGGACTGGGGACCGCTGGCACAAAAGTTGCTAGAACTCTTTCAGAGAAGCTGGGATCTAGCCCCGCCAGGAGTTTCCACTGAAAGGACGGTGCTCCTAACCCCCCACAGCTCCTCTGCCCTGGGATAACTCCTTAGTGTGTGCTGCTTCCCTGGACCTTTCCTTTGGGACACACACATCAGGGCCTGTCAAGCTTGAGTGACACCTACCTTCTTGCATTTTTGAGGTTCCTGGTATTTAAAAAGCAAGATGATAAACAGGATTGAAAGCTGTGGTATATTTTGGATGTTTACATTGAACAAATTAACCCTTCAAACACATATGTAACCTTATTGTGTGTATGTGCATAACCTTATTTGGAGATAAGATCAGAAATGTAATATAAGGCCTTTGGTGAACTTGAGGACCTGAACAGATAACCCCGCCTCACTATTCCACAGACCCACACATCTAGGCATTTCCTAGGACAGTGTGGTCAGGACACCTGCCCCAGCTCCTTCCCCACTCTATTGCCTGGGCACCTGTGAAGAAACCTCTGCGTGAAGGGTGTGGTGGAGCCTATGGGGTGGAATAGGGAGAGATTCTGGGATAAACATGGGGATGGGGATGAACTGTGTTGGCTGTAGGCTGGCTGTCTGTGATGGAAGACTCCTGAATAGTTTCCAACTCCACTAGGATGGCAGAGGAACTTTTAAATTTCCAGGGTCCTGCTTCCCAGCTCCAGTTAGGTTGGAGGTGGCCACTAGGGAAGATTTTCCAACCTCTTCCAGACCCCAGCCCTGGGGCACCTGGCTGTCAGGCACATAGATATCCAGCTGCTGGGGAGTGACTTGGTGTGATCTCTGCCCAGGGGACTGCCAAGGCAAATTGGGGTCCAAGGTGGAGGTGGTCAGGAAACCCTGTCTTCAAAGATGAATGCCTTGACTGGCATGAGGGGAAATAGATGGAGGCCAGAAAAGGCTAAGCAGGAAGGAAGCTGCTAGGACCAGGCAACGTGGTGGCTTGGGAGATGGGCAGGCAGCTTCCCTGCCCGGGGAAGGGTAGAAGAGGGACAGCAGAGGGCAGACCAGTGGGAATAAGACTGCTTCTGGAATACCCAGGTGTGGAATGTAGCCAGTCAGAGTCACACAGCTAGTTAATCCTACTTAACTAGCTGTGTGACCTTGGTCCAGTTATAGGGCATCCGAGTCTCAGTTCCTCCTCTGTGGCAGTGACTTTGGTGAGGAGTATGCTTATGTAGATTGCCAGGCACAGTGCTTTTCTTCCGTGGCTTTTCCTCTTTACCTTGGCTTTCCCTCTGACTTGTGCTTTCCTGAAAGCTGAACGTGTTCGTTGTTGAGGGCAGGTGAGGTGGGAGAAAACCCAGACTTGGCAGGTAGCTGAGACCCTGGGTGGGTGGCAGCCTCAAGCAGCAGGTCTTCAAGGTTTGCCCTTGCCATATTCAGGGAGAAGAAAGGAAGGAACCCCTCCATCTGGCTTCCTGGGTCCTAGTCGTTTCTTTTTTTTTTTTCTTTTTTTTTTTTTTGAGACGGAGTCTCGCTCTGTAGCCCAGGCTGGAGTGCAGTGGCCGGATCTCAGCTCACTGCAAGCTCCGCCTCCCGGGTTCACGCCATTCTCCAGCCTCAGCCTCCTGAGTAGCTGGGACTACAGGCGCCCGCCACCTCGCCCGGCTATTTTTTGTATTTCTTAGTAGAGACGGGGTTTCACCGTGTTAGCCAGGATGGTCTCGATCTCCTGACCTCGTGATCCACCCATCTCGGCCTCCCAAAGTGCTGGGATTACAGGCTTGAGCCACCGCGCCCATTCTTTCCCCTTCCCTGCAGGTCCAATGAGCTGGTTTTTTCCTCAACTGACCCCAAGACTTCCTGGACTTCTCCTTGTTTCCCCTGCTACCCAAAACTTCTTGGGTGCTCACCAGTTCTTCAGTCCTCCTCTCTTTGGACCCATAGCACCCAGATTGCCTGGGCTCTAATTCTGGTTCCAACACTGGCTCGTTACCTTGGCAAGTTCTGTGACTTCCTGGAGCCTCTGGTTCCTTGTCTGTAAAGTGGGAGTGTTAATCAAACTTTTAGCATTTACTTGTTATGAGGATTAAGAGAATCCCAAGAACAGTATCTGGCCCATGAGGTGCAAATTCTGGACAAAGGCAACTACTATTATTGTTATTTGGTGATGGCCCTGTGGTGGCACTAGCATGTCAAGGACATGGTGCCTGTCCTCAAGAAATATATCATGTAGCTCATGCTTGAATCCAGTCAATACCTTCCTGCTGACCCTGGAATAAAATCCAAATGCTCCGTGGTAGCCTGGAGGACCCTATGTGATCTGCTCCCTGCCTACCTTTTTCACCTCATCTCATCTCTCGTCCTTATCTCTTGTTCATCATCTACACTGTCCTTTCTGTTTCTCAAATATGCCATGCTGTTTTCCACCTCTAGGACTCTGCATGTCCTGCCCTCTCTGCCTAAACTACTTCCCCCAGACCCTTTCCGTCATCAGGTCAAATCCTGCATCCTCAGAAAGGCCTTTCCTGGCTTTCCAACTTAAAGTTGCCCCGCCTTCCTCTCTCCCACCCCCAGTAACTCCCTATCTCATAATGCTGTTTCATTTTCTTCATAGCACTTATTGTTATCAGAAATTATCTTGTTTCCTTGTTTATCATCTCTCTTCTCCTAAAACGTAAGCTTCATGAGGCAGGGACCTTGTCTGGCCTATCCGCCTCTGCATTTCTAGTAGTTAGAATAGTGCTTGGAACACAGTAGGTGCACAATAAATATTAGGTGAGTGGATGAGTGAACGAAGGCAGCTATGACCATAGGACAAAGCTGAGTAAGCTGAGGGGCCTCCTGGGGAAGGCTCCAGCCCTGGGCTAAAGACATGGATTTGTTGGGTTCCTTGTTCTGCTAACTCTGATTCTCCATGTGTCTCCCAGGGTCTAGACTGAGTTCTCCTTGAAGGCTGCTCCTGAGCCTAGGCATTTTTGTAGCTAAACCATTACCAGTCAGAAAGTGGGAGCACTGTTCTGGGGGCCTCCATCTGTGCCAGGTGTTCAACCTTTAGTTGCTGGATCATAGAGAGGTATGGTAAGGTGATGTCCCAAGGTTGAGGGAAGCTTGTACTTACCAGCAGGTGCAGAAGTATTTCAACATTTTGACGTTCAGTGCCCTAGCTTCACGTACAGTGAGTGCCGATGAGCTTCGATAGGCCCTGATGAGTCCTATGGATTCAACACTATTTCAGGAGCTGAGATCTGGAGCAGCTAAGCTGGTTGGCACCTTTGTGGCCATCCAGGTTAATGTTCCCCCCAATCCCCACCCACCCAAACCCATCCACTTCTACAGTTGAAGAGGGAGGAGCAGAGAGAGGGCCCAAGGTCCAGAGCTGGTCATTGGCAGGGCCAAGACTTCAAGGCAGCAGGTGGAAACTTGCATATCTTCCTGAGAAGGGGCAGGGAAGACATATTCTCACGTTCTGCAAGCCCCAAGAGCCTTTCCAAGCCAAGATTGGGAAGTGTATTCCACCACATCTTCCCTGCCCTTTCCTGACAGGTGCTTCTCTCTTTCCTCAGGGCCACAGGGACAGGAATCCCAGGAAGGTCTCTTCAGCTGCCAGGTCAGGCCTAGGCAGGTGAAGACGTGCTGGGAGGGGACCTTGATGTCATGTGACATGCAGACCTTCCTTTGTTCCCTGCCTCCAGCCTTCTCCCTATTGTCACCCGCCTATCCTCACACCCCCAAGGGTTCCCTGGAACCTGAAGTGACTCAGGGATTCCAAAACTAGTCACCACAGGAGGAAACCCCACTGGAAAATGTTTCTCATGACAGGGAGTCACCCTAAGGAGTCCCACAAAGCTGCTACTGAGATAAGGACAGAGGGTGAGCAAGTGGGGTGGGGTGGGGGCATGTGGCTCAGAGCACAGTTTCTTAGGTAAGTCCTGGTCATCATGGGGGTGGGAAAAGCCAACCCTTCCTGGAGGGGTTATCCCTCTGTCCTAAAGGGACACCTCAAAGGACTCTTCTGAAGGGCGACGTTCCTGGTGACCTAGGCTGGGTCTTCCCTGCAGTGTCAGCAAGTGAAACAGGTAGCTGGGATCACTTCTGGCTCCTTTGAACATCCCCTCCTGGGAAGGGGTCAAGATAGGAGATCTGAGCCAACTCCAGTTCTACTACCTTCTTAGCCCTGAGGTTCTGATTGGTGAGAGTGAGATCCATAGGAATCCAGCTCTCCTGAAACAGCACTGCCTTGTAAGAGTCTGTTTTGGGATTGAAGTTTTCCCAGGAGCACCAGAAGCCACCTTGAGGCCATGTCTGCCAGACCAAAGGCTAGGAAAGGGAGCTAGTGCAGTGAATCCCAATAGCAGGGCTGGATGCCTAAGCAGGCAGACACACCCTGTGGCCCTCAGCAGGTGTTGTTGAAACTTGTCCCAACCCAAGCCCAGGTGAGTAGGAAAGCATTCACTGTGGGGCTCCCCTTCCATTCACAGCCAACTGGGGGTAGGCACGGTGTGGCACTTCCATGCCAGGTTAGATGTGGAATAATTGGTCAGAGCTGGAAATGGGAAACCAGCTCAGCCTCTTTCTTTGTGATCTTTGGTAAGTTTCTAAATTTCCTTGGGCCTCAGTTTCCTCATTTGTAATATGGGGATAATAGTTTCCATGTCATGGTTTCATTGTAAGGATAAAATGAGATGATGCATGCCCAGGGCTTAGCACCATGTCTGGCACATGTAAGTGCACAGGAGCTGAGGCCAGCAGGATATGGAAGGGAGAGGACGTCTACAAGTACTGGGGGCAGAGGGTGAGGCAGTGAGAGTAGGGCCATGATACTGGCCTCATGACTCTTCCTGAGTGCCCCAGATCTCCCAGCCACCACCTGCTTCTTCTAAGTGCCCCCCATCCCACAGTTCCAGGTGCCCCAAGACTCACCAGAGCAGAGCAGGTTCTCCCAATTTTCCAGATCGCCCTCTGACCTCATCACTTCTCTCTTTTGGGGCTGCTTTGCCGTAATGCATTGGAAAGATTCCTCCTCACTTTGCAGTTTAAGTTATTCCTGGTTCCTTTTGTTTATTTCCTGAGTCCTTGGTTACTAGAGGAGTATTTTCTAAGGGAAAGCACATGCAAATCAAGCCGCATCATTCTAGGGGCAATGTCTGCGTATGGGTATGTTGGGTGGGTGTGGGGGATGAGGCAAGCCAATAGGCAAGCATTAAGAGAAGGACCTGGGGGGAAGGACGGGCTGGCCCACTCTCAGCACAGTGTCTCTCAAGCAGCCTGGAGCCGGCTGACCTGTGTCTTTGGGGTCAAATTCAACTCTAAGCCTTTCTGGGGCACACATACTCCCTCCTGGCTGACAGTGGCCCATGTTTCTGGGCCTGCTGAGGCTGAGTGGGCTCACTTCCTGGCCTGAAAGCAGTAGCTGGCCCTGTCATAGGCTTGGTCCCCACGGCTCTGTGAATGAGAGCAGGTTGGTCCCTGGAACTGAGACCTCCTTCCTATTGGGTCTTACGTGAGGCTGTTTCAGTTTCCCTCCTCTTCCTTGCTTCACTTTCTCATTTGTGCAATGGGAACACTCACCCACAGCTTCTTCCATCAGACCTTGCCCATCCAGTCAACAAACTCAGGAAGTCAGGGCCTTCCGGCAGCCCTGTGAGGGTAGGCTTGTATACCCGGGTGGGGGGCAGTGACTGGCGAGGGCAAGGGGGAGTTAGGGAGCAGGTCATGGACAATGGGGGAGAAGTCACAGATGATGGGGGTCATAGAATTTTGGGGTCATCGAAAATGTGGAAGAGGTCATAGAACAAAGGGGATAGGAGTCAAAGGTTATCTAAGGGAAAGGAAATAATCACGAAGGTGGATGATCAGGAGGACACCTGAGAAGAGGGGAATGGTGAAACCAGACCCTGGATGGGAGCAGAATGGATCATGGAAATGAGGCCTCTTGAAGGGAGGCCACAAGACATTTCCTAATTTTGGCTACCAAACCAACCAGGGAAATTCCGCTAATGCCAGTTCACAAGAACACAGAACAGCAGACCGCTATTGCTTTGACCCCACGCCTAGAAAAGTTCAAAGAGCAAAGTTTACCCAATCAGCTACCAGGCATATAATGATGGTCATCACAACTTCCATGAGTATCGCATTTTAGGCAGCCTTTGGAAATACTCTCAGAGTTTTTTGTTTTGTTTTGTTTTTTAATCTCAAGTCACTCCCTAAAAAGATAGTGGAAATAAATTTGAATAAACAAAACAGGCTTGCTGAAAATAAAATCAGGACTCCTAACCTGCTCCAGTCAGCCTGCTTCCACGAGGCCTGTCAGCCAGTGCTCCACCTGACTGAGTGCGCAGTGCCCAGCATGTACCAGGTCAGTGCAGAGGGCTGCTTGAGGGCTATGCTGAGAGGGAGAGGAGCAGAGATGCTGCTGAGGGTGGAGAGAGGCCAAGCTGCCAGGTTTGGGGAAGGGGGCCAGGTGGAGTGAGAAACTGGGATCCCAGGGGGAGCGTGCAGATGAGGGGGCAACCCAGATTAGGTGAGAACAGTTCTCTCATTCGCCTTTTCCTACAGGTGGTTGCATTCTTGGCAATGGTCATGGGAACCCACACCTACAACCACTGGCCCAGCTGCTGCCCCAGCAAAGGACAGTACTCGTCTGAGGAGTTGCTGAGGTGGAGCACTGTGCCTGTGCCTCCCCTAAAGCCGACTAGCCTCGACTTCCACTCAGTATCCTGTAGGGCCAGTGAAGATGGGCCCCTCAACAGCAGGGCCATCTCCCCCTGGAGATATGAGTGAGTCTGCTGCCCCCCCCCCGAATGCCTGCACGTGCTCCCCTGTGTGTGCTGGTCAGGGTACGTGTGAGGCACCAGGGCAGTTCCAGCTTACTTTCCCATTTTGATCTTGGAGGGGCTGTAAAGGTTTGGGAATTGGACAAGATCTGTATTCGAGTCCTAGTTCTAACTCTCATTGGATGATCCTGAGTCAATTCAAGTTTTCAAACCTCAGAATTTTTTTTCACCTGTAAAATGATACAATGCCCCATAGGCTAATGTGCAAATCAAATGAAATATAATCTATGTAAAAGTCTGTATTTATGTTGGTTCTCTCCTTTTCTTTTAAAAAATATCTATAATAGCCCATGTTTTTCTGGGTAAAATATTAGGGAATAATAGCATGATACAGGCATGAAGCATCCCAATATCAAATGATACTGCCCGGGCCATGAATGGGTTAATTATAAGCATACTAAGGGAGTGAAACCCTCAACTTTTACGGGCAGCTGGCTGGCTGGAGCTGTGGACTGGATATCTTTGATCATTATCATGGTTACTGTATTCTTTCACTCAGTGTGCCACATAAATATTACAATTCTGTATTTGTGCCATGATATGAAAACTATTAGGAAGCGCTGAAATAAGAAAAATGAAGCAAAATATTAAAAACTAGGGTCTTAGGGATTCCAGACGTATGATTTCACTTCTTCCCTCTAGTTCTGTCTTAGCATTGGCTTTGGGGTGGATGGAGAAGTTCAGTGGTGGGGAGGGGGTCAGATTTAACTGAGATTGGATCTAGTGTGGATACTACAGGTCATGATGCTTTGGAGCAGTCTCAGAAGCCGACTGGGTCCTGGGCCAAATCAGATGGCACGGGAGCCTCTTAGGGGAGGCTGGGTGCCAGAGGTTAACTCAGCTGTCTTCCAGACCCCTTGCTGGGAGTCTGTGAACCACTCAGGTGGCTTTCCCCAAAGTGTGTTCTGTGCAACGCTCATCCCGTGAGCTGCTTCTCAGAAAAAAGTTATGCCAGGTAAACTTAGGAAAGACTGCTCTATCTCCTACCCCTTGGAGATTCATACTGTCATCTGTACATTAAAGTCTGCAAGAAGTCTATAGAAAGTAAACCATTAAACAAGTGTTTCCCAAATTCATTTAAGCACCTAACAGGTGTAGGTGATTTATTAGGGAACCCACTTCGGGAAGTGGTGTGCTAGCTAAACCCATTTGCCAGGGCTTGTCTGTGTTGGGAATAGTCCTACAAGCTGGGGACTGTCACCTGCCAGACTAACGGAGTCGCAGACCTATGGGACATCTACTTTTCAGTGTTTTTCATCTTTCTTTTTTTATTTTTTTGCCATGAAATCCTTTCAGAATAAGTAAAGAAGTCTTTCCATGCACTCTCAAGTATGCTTATAATATAAGCTTGTACAGCGTCTGGAAGAATGTGCAGGAAATAGTTGAGGATAGCTTCTCGGGAGTGGGACTGGTAGGCAGAGACTGTTAGCTTTCACTCTTTATACTCTTTTATACTTGGATGTCAGAGTAGTTTTTACTTTCGCAATAATGCTGTAATAATAATAATAGAAACACCGCCTAAAGTCCGGCCTGGTGGCTCATGCCTGTAATCACAGCACTTTGGGAGGTCCAGGTGGGTGGATTACCTAAGGTCAGGAGTTCAAGACCAGCCTGGCCAACCATGGCCAACATCGTGAAACCCCATCTCTACTAAAAATATGAAAATTAGCTAAGTATGGTGGCACGCAGCAGGAGAATCGCTTGAACCCAGGATGTGGAGGTTGCAGTTGAGCCAAGATCGTGCCCCTGCACTCCAGCCTGGGTACTCTGTCAAAAACAAACAAACAAACAAACAACAAAAACAAACAAACAAAAATCTAAAGTGTAATCATTACAGTAAGAAACCTCATGCTGGGCCAGATAGAAGCAGTGCTAGTCAATGGAGGCTAAGGCAGGAGCCTGCTCACCCTCCGCTGCCTCCCTCAGGGTCCCAGGACCAGTTGGAAAGTACTCTGTCACCTGCTACCGTCATTTACAGTGGGGAAAAATTAATAGAGGAGGGAGGTGACTTGTTCAAAGTTACACAGCAAGTGGGTGCAGAACTGAGACAAGAGGCCAAGGCCCCAGAGGGACCATTTCCTTCCTCTGGCACTCCCACGCCACCCTACCCTCTCTGTTTCTGGCCCATCTTTCCAGGGCCTGACAAGTGCCGCCCCCACAGGTTGGACAGAGACTTGAACCGGCTCCCCCAGGACCTGTACCACGCCCGTTGCCTGTGCCCACACTGCGTCAGCCTACAGACAGGCTCCCACATGGACCCCCGGGGCAACTCGGAGCTGCTCTACCACAACCAGACTGTCTTCTACCGGCGGCCGTGCCATGGCAAGAAGGGCAACCACAAGGGCTACTGCCTGGAGCGCAGGCTGTACCGTGTTTCCTTGGCTTGTGTGTGTGTGCGGCCCCGTGTGATGGGCTAGCCGGACCTGCTGGAGGCTGGTCCCTTTTTGGGAAACCTGGAGCCAGGTGTACAACCACTTGCCACGGAGGGCCAGGATGCCCAGATGCTTGGCCCCTGTAAAGTGCCGTCTGCAGCAGCAAGATCCCAGGACAGGATGGGGGGCTTCGGGGGAAACCTGCACTTCTGCACATTTTGAAAAGAGCAACTGCTGCTTAGGGCCACTGGAAGCTGGTGTCCTGTCATTTTCTCTCAGGAAAGGTTTTCAAAGTTCTGCCCATTTCTGGAGGCCACCACTCCTGTCTCTTCCTCTCTTCCCATCCCCTGCTATCCTGGCCCAGCACAGGCACTTTCTAAATATTTTCCCCTTGCCGGAGAAGAAAGAGCCCCTCATTTTATTGGCTTGCTTGTTTACTCATCACTCAGGAAGCATCTACTTTGGGTGCATTCTGGTGTAGTTACTGGTCTTTTGACATGGATGATTCTGAGGAGGAAGCTGTTATTGAATGTATAGAGATTTATCCAAATAAATATCTTTATTTTAAAATGGCCTAATCTGTTTTTGGCATCTGTGGTGCCTGAACACCTCGCGGTCTCCCAGCCTGTCCCTTCTTTCCACCATCGGCCCTCACCTCTGTCCACCCTGCCAGCTCTCTCTGCCCTCCAGAGTTTCTGCTGCACCCTCCCGTCCTCTCCCATCTCTGTCTCCCTGGCCCATCCCGAACACCAGGGTGGGGGCCAGGCTGCGCTCCCAGCATGCTGGAGAGACAGAGGTCCATTGAGGCATTGCAGCAGGCACACAGCGCCCCCTTGTCCCCCAACAATCCGCCTTTGTCCTCCAGTCCTGGCTGCTGCAGCTTGGTCCTGGGGGTGCTGCCTGGGCTGGGCTCCAGCTCACACCCTCCCTAAAAGGAAATGGGAGGAAGGACCAGCCAAAGAAGAGGGTTAAAGTTAGGGAAGGGGGACACAAATGTCTTCAGGCTTAGGTCCCTGGGGGCTCCCAGTCCTGCCCCTGTTCCTCTACTCACATCCCAGCTCCTCCCAGTTTCTTTTCGGACCTCCTCCTCTTCCCTCCCTTCTCTATTCCAGGCTGGGTTGGGCTCTAAGCAAGGGGAGGGATTAGAGCCTCCTCCCTCTCTGCCCCTCCCCATGGGTCTCTAGGGGGCTGGTGCGGGCAGCAGCAGAGGCACTCTGGGCAGCTGGGTGAAGGCCCATCTGGGCAAGGCCCCCAGCGGCTGCCTTCTCTCGCGGGGCCCTGTGGGCAAGGCTCCTGCTTCACTTTCAGGTTTCTCGAAGTGCCTTCTTGCTCCTGTCTGTTTCCCCATCCTGCCAGATTTCTGTTTCTCTTGCTGGGCTTTTGGCAGTACGGGCTGTGTTGGTGGGCCCCATGAAGATGCTCAGTGTTCGGGATCGCCGGGACCGGCCCCCTGAGGAGGGGGTAGTTGCAGAGCTCCAGGGCTTCGCGGTGGACAAGGCCTTCTTCACCTCCCACAAAGGCATCCTGCTGGAAACCGAGCTGGTAACAGCTGCCTCCCCAACCTGGTGCCTCCATTTCCCTGACCCCTGGTTCCTGGCCAGCCTTATGCCAGTCCCCAGCTTGCCCTTCAGTAGCCTCCCTCCCCAGGCCCTCTGGACACCTCTCCTTCCCCCAGCTGCCCCTTCTTCGTCTCCTACTCTGCCTTCTTGCTGCCTCTGCACCTGGAGGCATTTACAGCAGGTTTCAGTTGCAGCAGGAAGGACTGCAGTTAGACAGGATGACTTTTTGGGACATTGAGGGAGCGTGAGACATAGGGATGGGACAGGGGCAATGACAGCCTCTAACATGGCCACTTCTCAGCATGTCCAAGAAGTCTAACTATCAAAAAGGGCAGACTTCCTGCAGCTGCACTTTATCTGTGGTCTGCTGCCCAGAAACATCTCTTCTCAGGAAAGGATCTTCCCCCTTCTTAGCAAGACCACAGTGTAGACTTAAGGCCTCTGCATGTATGCCACCCTAGGTCATCAGAGCTAAAGGGGTCCCCAGAGTCTACTGTGCAGCATCTGCCTTCTCTCTTGGCATGGAATCAAAGGCATCTAGGGGTGGGGAAAGCATTATGGAGCAGGGGGCGCCTCTTGGTCCCTGTGGAGTGGGGTCTCTGTGGGCACAACTCCAGGGGCTGGCATTCACACTGTACCCGTGAATTACTGTGGAATAGTGCTCCTGGGAGCCGTAAGACTTGGCCAGACTGCTGGGGTTGCTGGGTGAACAGAATGGGAGGCCGGAGACTGCCCTTGATGGGCAAATGCCCTGCAACGGTGGTTCCTAACACCAGGGAATAGGGAGATGTGCCAGAGTCCTTCCTTCCCTCCAAGGACAGGTGGTAGATGCCAGCCTAGGGGAGCTTCCAAGGAGGGGAAGGCAAAGCCCTGGCCCCTGCCTGTGTCCCCTTCCTGGCATGTTCCACATGCCCGGTACTGCAGGCCCTGACCCTCATCATCTTCATCTGCTTCACGGCCTCCATCTCTGCCTACATGGCCGCGGCGCTGCTGGAGTTCTTCATCACACTTGCCTTCCTCTTCCTCTATGCCACCCAGTACTACCAGCACTTCAACCGGCTTAACTGGCCCTGTCTGGTGAGGAACCTTGACCCCCAGCCCAGTTTGGGGCCCTTCCTTCTCCTCTAAATGGTGTGTTTTCCTTTCCTCCCCGAGCTTCTTTCCATTTCCACATTTCAGCTGGGTTTTGCCCCGTGCTATGCCCTGCGCTCAAAGGTGTGCTTTGACTCACACTGATTTCACAGCTGCAGGGCCATGGGCAATCAGGAGGACCACATCCGCTAGATCTGCTCTCCCACTCAGCAAAGGTCCAGCCCTAGCCCTGGCCTGGCCTGACCCCCCTGGCTGGTGGACTCCAGCTGCTGTCACCTGGGCTCCAGCCCTAGCACCTGGCTTCTGGTCCTGGTTGCTCTGGTTCATCTGCTTCCACTCCCTGGGTAGCAGTGTGAGCGCTCTGTCTCTTGAATGTGCTTCATATTGTGTGAGGGGTATCCCATGGAGGGGTTCAGAATCCCTCAGGGTCGGGCTTCTGGCTAGCCTGGAAAACCTCAGAGCAATGCCCCCTGCCTTCTGAGGTCCTGTTAACCCTGCACCCCTGGCCCCCAGGACTTCCTGCGCTGTGTCAGTGCCATCATCATCTTCCTGGTGGTCTCCTTTGCAGCTGTGACCTCCCGGGATGGAGCTGCCATTGCTGCTTTTGTGAGTTCAGCCCTGCAGGACTCCTCAGCCCTTCAAGAGCTCAGGCTGGTGCTTGCACACTTTCTGTGTCAGAAGCCACAGCCAGGGCTTGGGGTTCTGGCTTGCACCTCGCCTTATACCTTAACCCAATGGCCAGATAGCCTGTTTTCCCATCCCCACTTGCACTCCCACAGGTTTTTGGCATCATCCTGGTTTCCGTCTTTGCCTATGATGCATTCAAGATCTACCGGACTGAGATGGCACCCGGGGCCATCCAGGGTGAGTGCCCGTGCTCTGTGGAGAGGAGGTGCCCTCCCCAACCCTAGCTACTCATCCTGACGTGGTTCTCTACCTGGTTCCATCCTCACAGGGGACCAGCAGTGACTCTGGGGCTACCTGGCTTCTAGGCCTAGCCAGCCAGAGGGGACAGTGGAGCCCAGACACGTCTCCTTGGGATTCACTAACCCCCAGCCCGCCAAACCCCACCCCAGCCTTACGGAGATGTCCAGCCTGAGACGTCACTGGGGACTTATCTGTGGAGCCTGGTGCTCCGGGATCTGGCTCCTGATGAAGCTCTGGCCAGAGGAGGGGAACTTATGGGGGGAGGGAGGGTGGTGGGGAGGAATCTGGGCCCCTAAGTCATTCCCAAATTAAAATATTCAAATTCTACTGGCAAGTCTCTTTCTTCCCCAGAAATTAGGCAGGTCAGGAATGCCAAGGAGTATTCATGGGAATGTTGCGGGAGCAGGTCGTGGTCTGTCTCTGGGACCGTGTCTGAGCAGTGAGGATGTGGGGGCTAGCTAGAAGAAGCTGAAGACATCTTCCAACACAAAACTTCTACGCTACACCTCTGTGTGCATGGCCATGGTGTGCCTGGTGGCTGGGCATCTGGAGTTCTGTGTCTGAGAAGGCACAGCCTTCCTCAAGGGAGCGTGCACCCACCACCACACCTGTTCCCATAGGTTAGTGGGCTGGAAGCGAGGCACTCGCCTGGGGTGTGTGCAGAGCTCCCCCTTGTGGTGTGGGGAAGACTTGGCCCACAGGACGCAGGGAGAGGGCAGCCTGAGGCATCAGAGAAGGGAGAGATTTCCCAGAATGTGAATGCTGGGAGAGCCTGTGCATATCAGCTGGTGCAATGCCCTCATTTCACATAAGATAAAACAGGCCCAGCTAGGGGAGGTGAACTCATTTGTGACAGAGCTAGGGCCAGAACACAGCTCTTCTGACACCTAAGCGAGTGTTCTGGATACTGTACTGAGCCTCCTTGTAGCTCAGAAAAGAACGGCCAACTCGTCCCTCCACTGTGGGTCCACCTTCCCAGCTTGCCAGCTCCTCAGCACACATTTCCTGAGCATCTCCCATGCGCAGACTCTGTGCTGGGTGCCAGAGCCTCAGAGGTGACAGGGGGGCCTGCCCTTGAGTATTCAAAGGCTGGGAAAGAGACAAGCTGGTCAAGGCATCCCCATGGTGAACGCTATGGGAAGGCTCGGGGGAGTTTGGAGCAGACACTGCTGCAGCCTGGGAGTCAGCCCTGCTGGGCTGAGACAGACGGACATGCAGCCAGACGTTCCTGCCCAGCCCAAGGAGCCCAGCATGACCTGGCTCAGCAGTTCCATCCCAGCTGGCGTGCTATCTCCTCTCCCTGATGCATGTGTGTTCCTGCCCTGAGATACAATCTTTCTTCTGGAGCGCTCCTTCCAGCTGCAGGCCCCAGCTCCCAAGTCCTGCCTGAGCCCTGGATCTTGAACTCTGGTCACTGTGCTCTGCTTCCTTGGTGGCAACCACTCCTCTCTCTTGGTCTTTTTCCTGCCTCCTGCTTCCTGTTCTCCTATCCTTGTGTCCTGGCTCACCATCAGGGCTGGCAGCCTCTCCTGGGCTAGAACTAACAGGATTTTGTGTTTCTCTGGTCACTGCTCACGGTTCTCAGGGCTTTATGCACAGTCCATTCTCATAGTCTCAGAGGAGGGATAGAAGAGGCTCCACTTGGGGAGTCAGGGAGATAGGGTGCCAGGTGAAGGGTTAAGGAGGTGGTTAGCAGAGCCTGGTTGCAAAGCCCAGTGGGGAGTGGGGATTTGCTTTGTGCAGAATGGTGTCAGGACCGGTCCTCTCCCACAAGCAGCTGTGTGACCCAGGCAAGACTGTCCCCAATAGGAGCTTAGAGAGAGCAGAAATATGACCGCAGTGTTTCCCTGTACAGGCACCTGTGCTGTCTGTGTCTGTGTGAGAACTAACATGAAATGAGCAATGCCCAGGCTTGGTCCTCATGGCATATTGGTTTGGGCTCAGTGTTGATTGGCCCCAGAGTCTCAAGATGCCCTCACAGTGAGGT